TGTGTGGGCTGCCGCCTTCCGCAGTCAGCTGTCTTTGGGGCAGGGATGATATCGGGCATCGCTCAGGAGTCCTGAGTCTTTCCCACTTGGAAGCTCAGCAGCTGGAGGGGGTGGGTAGCTGAGCTGCCCCCTCCGCTCCTGAGTCTCACTCACCCTGTCCACACCCACATCCTTTCACCGGCCCCTCCTCCCCTCACTTGTCTAAAAGTACTTGGAGCTGCCGTCTCAGGGGACCGGCATCTGGTGCCTAAAGCTATTCTATCTTTGGCATTCTGATAAATTTTGAGTCTATGAAACAGTTTCAAAAAAAAAAAGAGAGAGAGACTGGCTATTTATCAGATCTATTCATTGCTTCATTCAACAAATACCTTGATTAGATGCTCCCGTCACCACGGCCCTGGGTGTGTGTACAGTGGTGGACATGGCGTCCTGGATTCTACAGGATGTAACACAAATACACTGTGTCCATCAATGGATAGGGTCATCCAGCTGTCAAGAGCTGAGGGCTGGATGAGTCCACGTGCCTGGGTCCCACGGCTAGCTACCACCGAACACCTGGTCACAAGGGTAGCAGACGGTGTCCACGTTCGCCCCAAATGAATCCTCAAGCGTTGCCTTCAGGGTCAGATTCTGCACACAGACTTGCTCTACGGTAAGAAAAATAAACGCATTAATCCTTTTTGTAGCTCTGTGAGTAACACTGATGTTTTTATAAGCATCGTGGTCATACTAGAAGCATAAATGTCTCGTGAAAGGAGAGAACACTGAAAGATGAGTATTTTCTTAAGAATATGAAATTATGACTCACTCTTAAATAAATCTATCCATGTAAGGAATATATCAACGAGGTTTCCTTTTTTCTTTTTTAAATGTTGGGTGAATGTACCTTGTCGCAAACTCAATTTAATTTCACATTGACCTTAAAATCTACAGGATTTGATCAAAGGTGGATCTTTTGAAAACCTGAGTTGAAATGACTCAGCTAGCTGAACTGTTAAATTGTTGGCAAAACAACAAGTTTCTACTGTCCAGCACAGGGAACTATATTCAATACCTTGTAATAATCGATAATAAAAAAGAATATGAAAAGGAATATGTACGTATATGTGGGTAACTGAGTCAGCCGGCTGTACACCTGAAACTAACACAACATTGTAAATCAACTCTACTTCAACTGAAAGAAAAAAGGAAAGAATCTAGCCCCTGTCTGACACTGGCCCCCGGTGGCATTATCCTCGATAAAGGACGCTGTCTCGGTCCTCCCCTGATTAAAAGTGCAACGTTGCCCCCCCTCCGCACCACCTGCAGAACAGAGCTGTCTGTGGAGCACAGAGAAGGACCAAAATCAAGCCCCTACTGTCATTTAATCCTCACAGGACGCAGCCCAAACCGTGACTCAGGAGCTGAGACACGCCCGCCCAGAGGGCCCTCCTCCCCTCCCCTTCCCTCCAGCACATCTGCACCTCCCCCTTCAAGGCCTGACTCACACGCGACGTGGGGCCCCCGAAGCACCGCCACTGACTTGAGTTATCGCCCTTTTATGGCACGTTCAGGTGTTTTCTGCTTCTCACAGTTCTGTCCTCATTTTGATGGGGACCTTGAGTCTTGTGGCCACAGCTGGTGTCCCTTCTGGACACCCCGGCTCACGGCTGCCAGGCATCAGAGACAGTGAGCCCACAGATAGGAGGCGGTTTGTATACGGCCCTCTCTGTGCCTCAGTTGCGGGCGGCATGAGTCTGACGGCTCCTAGAATACATAATGCAGACGGGGCGGCTTGAAGAGCAGGCATTGTGTCTCCCCGTCCTGGAGGCTGGAATCTGAGGTCAGGGTGTGAGCAGGGCTGGTGTCTCCTGAGCCCTCTCCCCTTGGTGTGTAGACGGCCGTCTCCTCCCTGTGTCTCCAGGTCTTGGAGGGCAGTCTCGGGGGTCTCTTGTTATAAGGCCGCCAATCCCATCATGGGGGCCCCACCCTCATGGCCTCCCCTGACCCTACTCACCTGCTAAAGTCTCTTCCTCCAGACACCATCCCATTGCAGGTCAGGGCTGCCACGTATGAATTGTGGATGGCGGGGCACTAAGACTCAGGCCACACCAGCTGTCAGTGTGCACAGCACCCCCGAGAGTTGACCTCGCAGTGGCCCTGGGTTCCTCCTCCCTTCCCGGTGTCCCTCCTGTCCTCCCTCAGTCCTCACTGCTCATCGTCTTCTCCCATTTCTTTCCCACCCAGCCTTTAAAATTAGCTTTGCGGCTCAACCATCTCTAGACACATTTACAGTACGGGTTGGGTGCCCCCCTGCCCCGCCTCTGTATGCGTTGTCTGCACACGACAATGACCTGATTGCAATGCTCAGCGACCCCTCCTCTTCGTAAACAGCTTTTCCTCCTGTGTGGCCGCACAGCTGGCGTCTGGCCTGCACCTGGCTCAGAACACGATGCATCGGGTGTTTGTTGAGTGAATGCACAAACTCCTCCGACATCCCACACTCGGTGGGAGGCGGAGACCCCGGCATTCACGAGGCGGTGCGTCCAAGCGCCTGCTTCTGCCGCGGCTCAGGTGGGAGGGCCACGTGACACGTGCTTCCCCGCCGCGGACTCACGGTTCCGCCACCTACAGCGGTAAGTGGGGTCCAGGGACGACTGGGTGAAAGGTACCGGGTCGAAGGCGGAGCTGAACGCGGCTGTACGCGCCTACCCTTGCGTGGGCGTTGGCGCGGCGCTGGGCCCGCGCCGCCCCGCGGG